AGATGAAAGAAAACGTTTTTCTCCCTGAGTCTGGCCTTCATAATTCCATTCCATCACAAAACTGGAGCAGCCAGAATTGCATGAACCACTGCACTCTGGACCACTTATAACATCTGGATGGCCTTCAAGGGCAGCCCCATGTACAGCACATTACAGTAATCCAACCAGGAAGTTGCCTGGGTCTGAAGTTGTGTTTCATTACATGGCACTGGTATAAGCATTAATTATTTTTTTTATTAATTAGGCAAAACAAACAATAAAAAAGCAAAGAAAAGGGGAAAGAATACATATACATACATAAAATACCCTTTACACTGGAGCAAGGGTTGAAGTGAAAATATGGTTATTTTTAAAAACATGAGAAAGGCCAAATAAACCAAACATGGAATAAAAAAAAAACATTTTAGGAAGACACATTCTAGAAGTCCCCCTCTCTCCTCCCCCTTTTTTCCTACAACCGCTGCTACTTAATATTTTTATACTATGCTCTGGACATTTAAATTCATTTAAATGAATCATTTAAATTAGTTCGTAACAGTTTCTCTTCTTCTTCGAACAATATAGAATACTAAATTAGCTGTGTAATAAACTGTGTATACCACCTGTTTTTCATAAGAGGAAGAGGAAGAGGAGGAAAAGGGATAAGAAGATCTAAAGCACAGAATTTCCTGCTTTACTAGCCCTGCTGTCCCTGCTGTTATGATGTGTTAAGGTAGACGTTTAGCACGTATAGCCATCATCCAGTTTGGTTTGGACTCGGTATCTGTGATCCCTAAACCATGTTTAATGCTTCAGCCCCAGGCTGTCCTGTTTTTTCAGGCTTGGAAGCAGATTTGGCATTATGAGCCTGTGTTATTTGCACTCTCATCAAATAGCTGTCAGGAAGCAATTCCAGAAGTGGCTGCACCCGTCCAAAGTGTATGAAGTACTACATGAATGGGGTAGAAGTAAGGAAGCTTCATGCCCAAGACCTGGGAACTTGCACCCAGGTCATTCCAGCCTTGGTTTCGCATCTTAACCACGACACCCCACCATCCTGCTACATTAAGGGATTCTTACCTTGGTTTCTTCTCCATTCAGATCAAGAGTTGTGAGAAAGACCCATTTCGGTGGACATGGCAGCATCAAAAATCTCTTTACCAGACCGAGACCTATCCCCCGATCAGTTGCTGTCACCAGAACACTGAAAACGGAGAAGTCAGCTGCCTTGGCCATCTCTTTCAGCAGCTGCAACTTCTGTTTCTAACCTGCTTGAAGGTTTGCTTCAAACGCTTCTTCTTGTTTTAAGAGGCACAATTACAAGGAACAGGCAACACCCACCTTTAAATCTTCTAATAAACTTCATCTACGTATTGGGGCTGGCAACAGTGATCACTTTAGCCAAAAGAGTAGTCCAAATAATACATAAAGACGAACAGGATGTCTTACAGAGATCTGTACACCAATCCTCAAAACAATAAAGTTTTCCTGCCCAAATAAACCAGGGCTAGGCCACCAGGGCTATGCCATTAAGGTTGCAAATAGATATTCTGCAAATAGATACCATATTTTTCCATTAATAAGACGCCCCCATGTATAAGACAACCCCCACTTTTCCAACCCCAAATTAAGAAATCAATATTTTAAAA